TAAAAAATGACTGGAAATGACCCTCTAGTTCAGTGGTTCTTAACCTGTGGGTCCCCAGATGTTTTGGCCTACAACTCCCAGAAATCCCAACCAGTTTACCAGCTGTTAGGATTTCTGGGAGTTGAAGGCCAAAACATATAGGGACCCACAGGTTGAGAACCATTGCTCTAGTCACTGAGACTGCATCTTCACTTGCCTGAAACAGTGATGCTGATCAAGAGTAGGGTACTTTGGATCAGTATAGCTGGAGATTACACTGTGCAATCCCAATCCAGCCCAGCAGCTGGGTGGCACTCACAGAACTAAATGATACCAGAACCGGTATAGCATCACTCAACCACAATTCTTATATTGCCCCACTGATCTGGCATTTGCGGTGCCCACCAGGTACAAAAATGCACCGCTCACCTCTCAGAATTTGTAATGATGATAATATCCAAAGCAACGAAACAATACAAGAGTGGGGAGAGAGGAAAAGAGGCATTTCTCTCTCCTTTCTGCCTTTCCTTCTCCGATCACCTCATCACTCTAGCTATTGTCTGTGTAGATACTGAGTGGTGACCAGCACCATTTCTATGCCCAGTGGGCATCACAAATTCCAGATTTACAGGGCAAGACATGAACCATCCCTTGTCCCCAGGCTGCCTGAGTCTGGGGAAAGCAGGATGGCAGTATAAACATTTCTCAAATAGAGCAGCACAACTACTTACATGAGCCAGAAGTCGTGCTTTACTCCAAATAGTCAAGGAAAATTCAGAGCAATCTGTGACTTCTACTAATTGGTTCAAAGATGCATTAACACAAATCCATCTGTGGGTTGTGCAACTGTCACAGAGCTGATTTGCCACTTTCTTTCACAATAAAAGTGTCAGTGAAGATGCACCCTAGGTCAGTTCAGTGTCCCCATTATCTTGGCTGTTAGAATAGCAGCTCAGCACATGAGAACAGCCTTTTCCTTGTTTTACAAGCCATTTAGAGTGTTCGGGCAAAAAGGGGGCATACAAATGTCACCACTAAATAAACAACAGAAGGAGAGAGGAAAATGACAATTGGACTGAATGATTATTTAAAAGATCCATAGTATGTTAGTGTTTATGGTCTATCTTACACCTCTCTATCACCCTACCTGCTTGCTTTGGAATTTCAGAGGTCAAACACCTGCTTAGTTTTAGTCACATATATCATGAAAATTTGCTTTTTTGTATTGTCTTTGCTTTTGATTATTTTTTCTTCACTTTTGACTTTAAAATAATCTTTAAAAAGGAATTTCAGAGGATGTGGTAGAAAACTAACAAAATACAGATGTCAGATATATACAGGGTGACGCAGCATAACTTCCTTTTTAAAAATGCATGCCATTCAGTCGGTTGAAGACATAGCGGAGCGCTAGTGGTCTCGTTCGAGAGGCGGGAGTATAAAGTTTTGTATTGACACCGTTCAGTCACCATCATGCATTGGAACAGTGAGGAGCGTGCTTTTGCCGTTGCGGCCTACTTTTTGAGTGGATTTGGAGTGGCCGGCCCGCTCTCCTTTATCTTTACCTTCATATATATCTATATCTATATCCATCTCTATCTATCTATCTATCTATCTATCTATCTATCTATCTATCTATCTATCTATCTATAGATATATAACTATATATAGATATGGTTGCATTCAAGATTTTAATATGATTAAATTTTAATGATGGGCTCTAGTGCAATAGGTTATTTCCATATAATACGTGTCTGATGCCAACTATGACAGGAATAGGTTTCTTTTTGTAGAAAAGCCAAAAAAAAACTTCCTCTTTTGCCTCAAAGAGTCCTCATACTATTTGTCACCCCAAGCTTTTACTTATCTGATGAAATTTCCAGATCTTATGTTTGGTTTCTTAGCAAAAGAAGAAATGTATGGCTTGTTTTGTCAGGACAGATCTGATACTTTCTAAGATAACACAGATCATGTAATTATTGAAACTGACTGGAAGGGGCTCTTCAGAATTTGAGACAGGGGTCTTTCCTAGCCCTATCAAAGACTGACTTTGGGAACTTTTACATGAAAGGTATAAATCTTTTCACTGATCTATAATCCTTTCCTAAAGCTCTCTGTTGGTATTTGATGCAAGATAAGGCTGGACAGACATCTGATTATCAAGGTCTGCTTTGCAGTTTAATGCAATCTTCAATACATCAACTGAAGCCTACTACAAAAGAGAGAGATTTTGGATTTTTAAAGATTCAAAGATTTTTTCTGAGCAACAATGGCAGCTGTTGGCTTTCGTGTCATTGGGATGACGAAGAAGCTATTTAAGGGGTTAAACCTATTTGGAAGACATGGTTCAGTTTCTTGAGTTTTCAGTGATTTACCGCTACATTGATATGGAAGCCATCAGCTACTCTGGGTTGAGCAATCCCCATTGGAACAAGCTGTGCAAAACTGAGGTGCAAATTAAATTTAACCATACCTCATTTTCTCATGTATACAATTGCTTCCAATGTGTCAAAATCAAGGACAGGAAACCCTTTTAAGTTTTGCTTTCTCTCAAATTCATTGTTCTAAACCTCACACTCTTTCTAGCCCAAATATAAAGCTATTTTCAAATGTTCAAATGTCTTCAGAAGAGAAATGAACAGAGATCATTCCTGAACTAAACAAGAGAAAGAAAACTGATAATTCAAAAGGTACAGCTGTGCCCAGCAAGGAGAAGAAGCTCAGGCCCATTCTCACTACAAACGTATACCAATATGATTCCCCTTTAGTTGCAATTGGAACATCATATGGAAACCTGAGATTTGAAGAGACACTGAAGATCTGTAGGAAAAATTCGAATCTTCCCCATATTGTAAATAGGATGGTAATAATGTGGTCTATTGAATGCAAGCAATAGTGGGTATAATATGACACATACAATGTAGTGATCTATAGCATAAACGGGACCCTAAAGTGCCCAGCTACCATTTTAATGCCAAAAATAAGGAAACTTTGAGGAAAAAGAAAGAGAGGACACTAATTCATTAATGGTATAGTTGATATGATAGAATTCCTAGGAAATAAAACACACACACACACACATATATATATAACACCCTGGGCTCAGATGAACAAATCTATCAATTTGTTTTTCTCCTATAGTCAATTTATTTTCATCTCAAATTAATTATATTATGAATATGAAGAAATATGCAAATGTAGGGATATACATAGAAAATAAATGAATTCTCACTTCTCTCAAGTTAAATTAATTGCTCTGCCCAACTAGACTTCATTGCAAGAGCATCTAGTATATCTTCACAGCATGGAAAATAAGTGTTATTATTCCAATTTTAATTACTGCTCTGTTTGCACATAATTTCTTCTAGTCACAGTCCTTCCCCATCCCCAAAAGAATTCATGCTGAGGTTCTCTTCAGGTGTTTGGCTGTAGGGTCTTTTAGTTTCCACTACCCTTTTTTTTTAATCCTAGACAGACAGTTTTGCAATTTGTCCCATACTATAAAGGCAAATGTCAAATTTTCAGTTCCTTTCTTATAGTAGGAATAAGGCTCAGCTGTTATATGTAGGGTGGCCAGATCAAATAATTAACAAAGGCCACTGCAAAATGATGAGGATTGTCTATGGATTTGTTTCTCTACTTTGTGTTGTTGGTGCCTTTCTGGTTGTATTGGTGAAGTCTTCAAGTTGACTATGACTTATGGTGACCACCTTATAGAGGTTTCTTGGCAGTATTTGTTGAGAGAAGGCTGACTGATGCTCTCCTCTGACAACGAGAGAATGTGATTTCCAGAAAGTCACTCGATGGTTTTACATGGCTGAGTGGGGATTTGAACCCTGCCCACTACAAGTATAAATATAGCATAACAAAGTTGTCTTATGAATTAAAATATTGCTGTCAACATCCTTCCTTTTCAAATTGACTTGATGAAAGTGAACAAATTTAAGCTCAATCCAGACAAACAGCCAGAAGGCAGATCAGGGTGAAATTACAGTCCCCCTGAAATCTAAGCTTTGTAGTTTGTGTGTGCTTCTGGACTTGGATCTGGATCTGGATGCCCAGGTTTGGGCCATGGCCAGAAATACATTAGCACAATTAATACTCGTGCACTAGCTGCACACATTCCTTGATAAGTGATATGACTACATACATGGACAACTTTAACATACTGTACATAGGGCTGCCTTTGGAAACTATTCGGAAACTTCAGTGGGTCAGAAATGCTGCTGTTTTCCTGTTGACCAGGGCTGGTTAGAGTGACCAATCCGGTAAAGGTTTTCCCATGACATTAAGTCCAGTTGTGCCCGACTCCGAGGGTTGGTGCTCATCTCCATTTCTAAGCTGAAGAGCTGGCATTGTCCATAGACACTTCCAAGGTCATGTGGCCAGCATGACTGCATGGAGCACTGTTACCTTCCCGCCGGAGTGGTACTTATTGATCTACTCACATTTTGAAACTACTATATTGGCAGAAGCTGGGACTAACAGCAGGAGCTCACACCACTCCCGGATTTGAGCCTGCGACCTTTCAATCAGCAAGTTCAGCAGTGCAGTGGTTTAACCCACTGCACCACTGGGGGCTCCTGACCAATCTGGTACTAATAGAAAAAAATAATAATTGCATTTCCATACTGTTTCTATCCACCGAGTTTCTGTGAACAGTACAGCATCTCTACACATTTTAAAAAAGTATGATTATCCATGATAACTTAGAATAGACCTTCATTGACTAGAGAAGAATCGGAATTCTATCTCTGCCCATTGTGAAAAAGTAAATACCTTTAGGCTCCAGTCATTAAACTGATCTCAGTGGGATTTCCTTCTAGATCAGCATGGATAGAATAACACTGTAAATAAAGCAATGTTGATTGACCACATATTAAGAATCATCTTGTATACCAATCAGATAGCTGTTTTAAGCAACTGAGAACAGAAGGTTATGGCTCTTTTAAATAGCAAAATCTAGAGTCAAAGAACTATGGCTCATAAAGTTTCATAAACCAGAAAACATGGTACCTACTTACCCTTACATATATCCACAAGTGGCTCTGATTTCAGGATCTGAGCAGCTTCGGTGGCGTTCCTGCAGATCATGGTGTTGTGTAGGCGAACCTCAGTGGAGGTCTTTTTTAAGATCTCCTCAATAGAAAAAGACAATACTGGCTTCTCTTGCTTGCCACATTCCTTTGAGCTACTCATCTTTATTCCATCATGAGAACAGCAAAATTATGCATCAAATCACATTTCACACTCTTTTGCTGTTCATTTTATGCAGGAATAAAGCGTTGTTAGTTTCCTTGCAAATGTCTTCAAGAAATTAAAAGAAAGAAAGAAAAAAGGTTCACTTTCACTTTGCCTATGACACTACCACAAGATTCAGAGCAATGTTGAATCATAAACTAGACAAATGCATGAATAAAAATAGCATTGTGGCCCTAACCGTCCCCAAAATCTCTCTGTGGTTTAACATGTCAAGGATCTCTGTACATCCGCTGTGGCTGTAATTTCAAGAAGATGAATATTCTTCTCAGTAGATCCAAGATCTTGCTAAAACATTTCATTGAATTGTTACTTGATAATATATGTGTACATCCAAGTTATTACTTTCCTTTCTTAGTGTTCAGTGAGATCTGCCCACAAGTCCCTGACCAATAGGAATGATGGGATTGAGCAAACAACCCACTGAAATAATATTTTCCAGGCTTCTTCAGAAAGTATTTGTAAGTCCTGAGCAGAAACAAAGAAGCTTCTTAGACCTATCACCACCTTCCCTACAACTACTTGTCTTTCATCTTAATTCTTCTGTAAATTTCAGAAACCTGTAAAAGATCCCAAATATTTTTTCCTGCAAATAATATTTGACCAAATGGTAACAGGAAAAAAGTAAAACAAAAAGATTTTTTTCAGACTCTTCAGGCTTCATTTCCTCAATCCGGTTAAGAAACATCCCAAAGATTACATTTCCTTTCCATTTCAATTTTTTTTCACCAGCAAGGACTTTGAAGGTCAACCTTTTCCTCCTTCCAGTTTCTGATAATCCCCTTCAGTTAAACAAGGGTATGTTGCAAAAACCAAACCAAAGCACCATTAATAATAATAATAAAACTCGTCCAAGCTTTCCTCTCACCTTTAAATGCTACTTTCTTGGATCCTTTTTTCTTGGCTTGTTTGCCTGCCCAGTTTTTGCTGCCTTTCTTCTGCAATCGTATTGACAGACTGCTCTTTGTTTGTCCAATTAACCTGACAATTGTCAAGCTGATATGCAATCATATGATTCTTTGTAAAGCTCAGGCTGAAATTACTGTGTAACCAGGTGGCAATAAAATGCACCTGATAAGATGAAAGACATTTCTTTTTTTTCCAAGAACTGGAGAAGTAGCTGCTCAGGGAAAGAAAGGATGATGGAACACCAACACATTACAGTCAAATCGTGTTGTATTGTAATCTAATGAATACAGTCCCTAGGCATGTTTATCCAGAATTAATTCTTGCTGTGTTTGGTAGACCTTATTGTGTGCAGAATACATTCTGATAATGCAATTTCACGCATGTCTTTATAATGCAATTTAGGAATCTGCTTTCAATTGAATCAAAACACTGGCACATCTAGCACAGTATTGTCTACACTGAGATTGACAGGTGTCAAGGTTAGGGGTCTGCATTGGTTCCCCAGGGGGCCTTGAATAGCTAACCTCTCTATTCATTTTCCCCCATGTAATATAGGGGAATTTTGGGCCAGATCTTGTTCTCTAGCTGTATCTCTATGGTAATAGGGTGGCCAAATGTCTAATTTCATAGATGCTAGCCTTCTGTTTTAGGGTAGGGAACATGCGAAAGTCAAGATATTGCTGGATTCCAGTTATTATCAGCCTTAATCAGCCTGGCAATTTGTGAGGGAAGATGAGAATATTAGTCTAATTGTACAGGCTTTCGTTGAAAAGATCAAGGGTCCATTCAAAATTATAATGCTATTATTACTCTTTAACTGCTGAATCCCATCATATGAAATCCTGGGATTTGTAGTTTAGTGAGGCACTTGAACTCTCTGGCTACAAATTCTAAATGCTCCTCCCTACATTGTCAATCCCAGGATTCCATAGGACAGAATGATGGCAGTGAAAGTGGAATAATAGTGGTATAATTCTATAATGTGACTGGGCTCCTTCAGATCTAGATACTTTAAGGTTCCCAAACCCTGATATAGCTGAACACTCAAAGTTGAATTCAAAGAGCTCCCTTTGGTCAGACCTTACCTGGAATACTGTGTCCAATTCTGGGCACCACAATTCAAGAGAGACATTGATAAGCTTGAGGAGGGTGACTAAAATGATCAAAGGTCTGGAGACCATGCCCTGTGAGAAGCATCTTAAAGAGCTGGGTATGTTTAGCCTGCAGAAGACAAGCTTGAGAGGAGACATAATCACCATGTATATGTGAAATAATGCCATAAGGAGGAAGAAGACTTGTATTCTGCTGCCCTGGAAACTAGGACTCAGAGCAATGGGTTCAAATTGCAGGAAAGGAGGTTCCACCTGAACATTACGAAGAACTTCCTGACTGTAAGAGCTGTTCAGCAGTGGAACTCTCTGCCTTGGATTGTGGTAGAAGCTACTTCCTTGGAGGCTTTCAAATAGAGGCTAGATGGCCATCTATCAGGGGTGCTTTGATTGTGCTTTTCCTTCTTGCTAGGGGGTTAGACTAGATGGATCATGTGGTCTCTTCCAACTCTATTATTCTATGATTCTAGACCCCAAAAACCAGGAATAAGAACCCCCAACCTTAAAGTTCCTCATCAACAATGAATACTTCAAACTGAACAAGCTCATTGACTATGCCTTGTCTTCTTTACTACTATGGGAGATATTTAATTCTGTTGAACTGAAGCAGTCTATTTGTTATTTGGGCTATGCATTAAGGGGAAATGTGGCATACTGTGGTCAGACTGTCAGAACGGGACTTGGAAACTTCATGTTCTTGTCCCCACTGAGCTGTGAACTTTATTGAATGACCTTGGGCTATTCATTCCTTCTCAGCCTGGCTTCCTGATAAAGTTATTATGAGGACAAAATGGGGAGGAGGACAGTCATGTATGCTGCATCAAGCTCATCAGAGAAAAAGGATATAAATAACAACAATTAAATCAAATCAAATTGCATCTATACATGTAAATTAGCCAATGCAATCTTTATACATGTCTCTGTGTGATGCTGCTTGTCACCAACATAATGACACTGTTTGAGCATTAGCTATGTGGTTGCGTTCTGACTAAATATCATCTTCTAGGATTGCATTAAGTGGCAATCACAGCTGGTTTCAACTTGTTGTCCAAACAGAAACCCAAACACACAGGTCATATTTTCCTGTTTGGAGATAAAGACAAAAAAACCCCAAACAAACAGTCAAAGGTAGCTGTTCCCAAACAAGGGGAAATGAGGGGATTATTCATTTTGGCTGCACTAGATAAGGAACATTTGTTGTAATAGTAAAAGAAAAATAGCAAACATCTTGCATCAAAATCAACCCTGAAGTTAAATCATAAGAGATTAAAATTTGCAAAGTGAAGCAAGTAAGAGGTCCAGCTAATAAAACAGAGAATTTTTTGTCTACAGAGTGCTGTAAAATAAGAAAGAGAAAGAAAAAACACAGATATGTGGCTGTCTGTAATGTGCTAAATCTTCTTGGCTGGACATTTATATACAGTAGAGTCCCTCTTATCCAACATAAATGGGCCGGCAGAATGTTGGATAATAAGGAGGGATGAAAGAAAAGCCTATTAAACATCTAATTACGCTATGATTTTACAAATTAAGCACCAAAATATCATGCTTTACAACAAATCGACAGAAAAAGCAGTTCAATACATGGTAATGTTATGTAGTAATTACTGTATTTATGAATTTGGCACCAAAACATTGCAATGTATTGAAACAGCTGCAGATCTGGGTGGGAGACAGACTGTGTTGGATAATACTGAATGTTGGATGAATGAAGGTTGGATAAGCAAGACTCTAATGTACTGAGAACTGAGCTCACACAAAAACTGGAGAGTTGAAACTTCTGCCCCGCACCCAGAGCTGACTCATGAAAACTGGTGACTTTGGGCAGAGCTTTGAGATCTGGCAACGTTCGAAGTGAGAGATGCTTTCATGGTGGCCACACTCAAATTTCCCCTTCTTCATTCAAAGTGATTATTTTTTCACTGCTAAGAAAAACTTTACATATGAAGAGATGATGACGATCTCTCTCTCTCTCTCACACACACACCTGACCTATAACCTTGCCTTACTCTCTTTTGTAGTACCTATTTGCTCTCACCTTTTTATGATACTTGACCTGTGCAAAAGGACAAGGATAATGGCTATATAGTCTAAGCCCTGTTATCAATGTATTGGTATTTCCTTTTATGTCTAGTGTGCTGCCTTTCATCTCAGTCCTTTTGGAGACAAGGTGACGCATCCTCAGATACAGGAATCTGGAAGTGCCTAGTGTTGCATCTTTACTATCAATGCAGATGACTCCATGTTTATAAAGGGGGGGGGGAGGGGAGAAGCAAGAGCTGGAATTAATGACCACAATTATAAATGTTTACACAAGAATTATGCATCTGTAACTGAGGGCTTGTCTACATATATTAACAATAGTGTACTCCTGTTGTAGGAGCTCTGATCCTGACACATAACTTCCATGATGATTCACTTGCAATGCATTTCTTTGAGCTTTAAACCATTTTTTAAAAAACCTTTCCCTTTACTTTAGGTTTTACAGAAAATCTAGACATGTTGCTGGCCCACTAAATGGTATTGCTCTGCTGTGTCAGTGAGAGCAGAATTAGTGGTGGCTGGAACCGGTTGGTGATAGGTAAGCATTGCTGCAAGAAACAACAACAACAACAACAACAACAACAACAACAACTTGGGAAGTGTCTGATGTATGATCCATTACAATAGCCAATTTGCTGTGTACTAATCTTGTTGTGTTTCAAATAATAATAATAACAACTTTGGTTTTATATCTTGCCTCCATCTCCCCGAAGGAACTTGTGGCGGCTTTCATGGGGACCAAGCCCAATCTAAACAAAGGTTACAATTAAAAATATAACTGTAAAATATATTAAAATGGTAAAACCAATAAAATGTAAGACATCATGGAACACAAACCAAACATCAAACAACTAGTATCCAAGAAAAGTGGGTATGTGCAGATTTGAGACTAATAGGGCAGGGACAAGGGCTTGTGCAAATGCAAACTGTAGGGCCGGGGCTGGGAATCAAGTGCTGGAAATCCGACCAAAAGATTAGGGCTAGGCAGATTTAATCAGTAGCTAAACCATTATTCAATGTCACATTGGAACATCCAAGTCTTCAAATATTAGGCAAGCCCCCTCATTGGCAGCCTTTAGGAGGA